CTGAGCGCTATTGCCTACTCTAAGAGCAGGCTTAATCAGACTTCAGCTACGCAAATGAAAATGCTAAATGCTAAAGCTTTTTTAAAAAACATTTGAGTTGCTAATTGCTGTCATGGTAGAACTAGGATTTCATCAACTACGGGCATGTGTGTTTATATATTTTACTGTCTTGCATCTTGTGGGGATTCCTGAGGAAAAATGTCTTTGAAAGATTCCCGTGCAATCTGAAGAACTCTTACAGATACCCTGGGGTAGATTCTGAAGCTTAAGTATGGAACAGCACAGAAAACATATCTACAGACAACACCTAAGTCTGCTGTACATATCAATGTGTGGAAGGCAAAAGGGGGAAATCGGTTTTGAAAGCTTGCTATCTGAGCGTGAACTTACTTTCTGCGGGACTTGGGGGGGTAGTGGCAAAAAACCCTTGAAAAAATGTCTAGTAAGGCTCTGCAGGAAAAAAATTAACTTGAAATCTGTCTAGATAATTGGGACTTCTAGATTTTTACTGGTTTTAAATCTCAACTGATGTACCAGTTTCAGAATTTTATTAACATCTGCACTTTTGCCCTTGATTCTTTCCTGGAAACAATTTAAAATAATTCTGATTTATGAAAGCCTTAGCAGAAGAGTGTGATTAATTTCATTTTTTCTGAACATGCAAAATAATTTTCTGAAGTTACAGGTAATTTAGAAATGAGATCTCTTTCAAACATTCTCAGTGTCTTAATGGTATCTATGTGAAAAACTGTTTTAAGATGCTATGTGTTCCAGGCAGCGCTAGTGAGTTAAATTTGAAAATTTTTGTTGAAATATATTTGTAAGAAATGAACTCAACTTGTGGCTGCGTAAATATTGAAAGGAGGCACAACTGATGTAAATGATGAGTGACAATAAGTATAATGTTGTTGCAAGGTATTGAATACTAACCAGAAAGTATGTTTGTTCTTTAGTGTTGATCCCTCAATTGTAAACATATCAGACGAAATGGCCAAAACTGCACAGTGGAAGGTTCTTGCCATGAGTACTGAGAGTGCCAAAGTAACCAGAGCTAACCTGAGGTAGCTATAATTACTCACGCATTTTCTAACGATGGTCTTGTGTTTAGCAGCTAATAGCTGTACTTGTATTTCTTGAAATGTATCTCAAAAAATGAGTATATGTGGTTTGTAAATCTGCATTGACTTTTTACTTTTGAGGAACTTGAATTTGAACTTCAATTTTTGCCCTTTACTCTGAAGTTAAACAATTTCTATAAGGAATTCAATTATTTTATTAAATGTATTATTACAATTTTAAAGTTACTCTTTATTTGCTTAATACAATTGTATGCTACTCTGATGGGCTTAGGGTTTCTAAAAAGCTTTACTAGAGTGTATATGAGCATGGGAATTGTTTGATCCTGAACACTACAAATGCCAGTGGGAATAAAAGGTAAGTACAGCATTTTCATTGTTGCTTCATGCTGCCCTAGGGTCTGCCCCCTGTTTTTGTGGGTGGGTGGGTTGGTTGGTTGGTTTCTTTGTTTTTTCCCCAGCTCGTTTTTAATCTCTAAAAATTAAACATGGCTCAAATACTATCTCACTGGATATGAAATATACTTGAATGAAGTACTGGACACTTTAGGAGTCCTTGATGCTATGAACACTTCCTGTAAGCTGACATGCATCTTCTGTGATGGCCAGGAGCCTCTTTCTCAGTGAGCTTCCCATCAAACAAGAAAGGCTGTATGCAAGGAATCATTCTGCTATTCCATCCTAGTTTTTTCCCCATCTGGCTGAATCTATCAAGGGGAACAAACCAAATCCTGAACATTCATTAGAATATCCCCACCTTCCTGAAAGGCTTGTGATTTATAGGGACTGGTATCTGTGGACTGTTCCATCACAGTGCAACTATTGCCTAGTAGTTTTTATGTAGGAAAGAGGGGAGAATTAGCCTGTTGACTTGGAAAACCAAGCTTATGCAATCCTGCTGTCTGTACATACATCTTCTTTTGGTTGATCCCATTCAGCCAAATCTGTCAAAGGAAGACAGGTTTCAGAGATGTGGTATTGTCAGGTTTTGTGTAAAATTACATCTTGGTGGAAGAGTTGGTGGTGAAGGGATTATTCATACATAATAGTCCAAGCTGTCGGTTGCTGTTTAGCTTGCATCATGGAAACAGCAGTAGTGACTGGCCACTTAGCACTTGTACACTATCTGTTTATCCAACACGTGCATTGCTCCAAGCTAGGCATGGAAATTTGCTTTGTTTTGCCCAGACAGTGGGTCAACCAAGGGTGAAGAAGGAGACGAGGAGAGAACTTGGAGGTATTGTAATAGGAAGAGCTGAAGAGACTCATTAGTGCAGGCACCATTTTCAGTGAATCTTCAGCCTGTATTGTTTAAACATTTTTAAATAAATGTTTTAAACATTTTAAAAAGGTTTTCTAAAACTTGAGTGCCACACAAGCTAGACTGCCAGGAAGATAGATAACAGAGGCATTAGATAGATAACAGAGTATGTGTGTCGGTATACCCTCGTATTTTGTTTATTTTCTTTTATGCTGAGTTCTGAGAAACCTGTTACAGAATTTGTGGATGCTTCTGGTACGTAATCTGATATTCATTGGGTGTATAAGGCTTGAAGAGATACAGACCTGTATTTCTCTTTCCAGAAGAACTAAAATTTTTAGATTTGGTTTTCAGGCAGTTAGAAGTTAGTACAACTCCATCTTGTGCTCTCCTGTTTCCTGAGTAGGTTAAATTAGTATAGAATTATATGCAGCACTAGTGAATTAGGCTTCTGACCGGTTTGCAATGTTTTTTGATCTACTTAGGTCATATTCAGTATTCCATCTATTTTTTATATTTTGCTATAAGGCATTTCCCTTTTATTCTGTAACATGCCCTGCTTGAGATTAGTATAGTAAAAATTGCATCTTGGAAGGGAACTTGCTAGAACTACAAATTGAAAATAAAAACCACTGGTGCTGGAAACTAGTTCTTTCAAAAGGCAATCTGATATTGCATGAATCTGGAAAATGTTAGAAGGCAGGAGCTCCTTGAGCCTTAACTCAATTATTTGGTTGCTGTTGTGAGGTATTTGCTACCTTTTTTTGTATAGTGGGTGCTGGAGAGATTGAGAGATGCCACCACTGCTCAGGCAAAAGTAATTCCTGGTAAATTTTTCATGTCAGTTCTGTTAAGATTTTTCTGTGTAACAGTCTTCATCTGAAAGCATGGACAGATGTTTAGTGCTGTGGTGAAAATGGTTCTGTAGGCACTGCTATTTTCAGATTTATAGGTTTCAAATAGGTTGCAGTTTGAAACAAGCAATGTCTTTTGGAATTCCAGGTGACATGTTTTGTGGGTTGGCATTATTTCTTAAAAATCTTACCTTTTTTAAAAAAAATTATTTTGTTAGATTTGTTTGTATTTCCTGAACTGATCCAGATGGCTTTTTCTTTCTACCTCCACCATCTCTCATATTTTATAGACTCTGCAGAGTCGAGGCACAGTTATATTTTCTAAGGAATCCCAGAATGTTTCTCTTTGCGTGAATTTCTAATACTTTTTTCCTTAAAGAGCAACTCGACAGATGTGTTGTCTCTTCTAAAATTCATGCCTAGAGAATCCTCCCTTTTATGCTGTTCCAATTCCTCTTCTACTGTCCTGTAACTACCTCGGGACGTTCCTTTCTGTCCTTGGATAAGCCACTGTTCCGTGGCTGTGTCCCTAAGAGTGTCAGTTGTTCAGGTGCCAGCCAGCCTGTTGTCTTTAGGGTCTTCCACTTGAATGGACACTTATGCAGATTTCTAACCGTCCTCTACTGTTGTGACAAGTGTGGTTCCCCATTTTGAAAAGACTGAAATGTTTTCCCAGTCTTGCATTGTGAACAAAATTGTTTCCCTGCCCAATAATTAAGCAGCATTAATAATATTGCTTGTTATATATTTTTGAGCATTTTTAACTAGACAGTTTTGTGGGTTTTGTTTTTGTTGTTGTTTGGTTGGTTCGTTGGTTGGTTTTGGTTTTTTTTTCCTCCAAAAAAGATGTTTTGCAAAACAATTTCAAATCAATAGAATCAATAAAAGCAGTGGGAGTAGAAATGGTATTTATAGATAGGATCTTGGGGATTTCTCTCTTTAAGCTTGTACTGTTCCTATGAATAGTATTTAACAATTACTAGAATGTAATAGAAATACATCACCATAAAAGTATCCTTACATAAATACTTTAAATGTTCATTTGAAAGTTAACCTTTACTAAAGTGAACCAAACCTTACATTTTCCTCTTTGCTTTCAAACAGCCCTGAAAAACCAGGAAGTGTGAAAATAAATGTGGAAGATTCACCTGTTGTGAAATACGTGGATGCTGAAACATCTTTATAGAACTGAACCAAGGGGAATTGCGTGTATTTGTGTGTGTATATATATCACTGCAGGATATTATACCATTGAAGTGTGACTTCCAATTTAAGGAGTGACATGTATTTAATTCTGCCATTGTTTAGGGCACTGTAGATATGCTTGCATAATGAGAAGATTTTCCTACAAATAAGACGAGTGGTAATCACACTTCAGCTATTTATTTTATTGGAAATTTTATTTTCATTTTTAAATAGGAAGATTGTAATGAATACATATTATTTTCAATAATCAGTATGTGCATAAAAGTTAAATCAGCTTTTGCTGACGATTACTGGTCCACATTGCTTAAAATTTTGCAATACCTCTGTTTATAATGTGCGCTACAGAACTTTGTTTTCCATGCAGGCAATTACTGCTTGTTTTTGCAGGGTATACTTTTTTTGTGATTTCATAGAACAAATATTAATGTGCTGTTGACAAGAACTACTGTGTTTTGTGTCTCCACTACATGCTAGTGTTTTCTGGATTCTGTCTCTCCTATTTTACAGGAGTGGCCCAGAGCCCTAAGTCTGGTGGTTAGTTAATCCTTAAAATATATATAAATACCCTGTTCTGCTACTTTTTTTTTTTAATTTACTCTTGATTTTTCATTATTGTCCAGTAGCAGTATAAGTGCAGTAACTGTAGTTACAGTCCCAAGTTAGGATTTGCCATTCTGGGCACTCCATGTTTACACAATATAAATTTGATTTACAGACAGCAATTTGGTCTATAGGAAGTTACACATACTTACCACACGAGTGCTTTTGAATTCTTTGTTCCTGTTTTTACTTACATTTTCCCATCGACTTTCAGAGTCTGATTTACTCAGCTCTAAGACTGAAACTTTAGAGTATTTCATGTCCTCATCAAATATATTTCTTGCTTAATTAATTTTTAAATTTACTGTGTATTTGATTAAATTAGCTGTAGTTTAATTCTGTAATAGGTTTATGATCAGTATTATTTTATGGATTGCAAATTGCTTGTGATATTTGTGTGTACAGTTCTGATCCTCTCCATTGTAAAGGGCATATATGATAGCACACCAACTTATTTTTAAACATCTTATTTATTTTAATTAGTATAAATTTTTATCATGTAAGATTAATTAAAAAAGTAATTATTCATTTATTAAAGTAAATGGGATTTTTTGGGGCTCACTGATAAAGATGCAGTCAGTACATTTTCAAGTTCTAGTGTTTAGCATTATAGTATTTGAAATAATGAAAATTTTATGTATAAATGAAAATCTTGATCACTTACCTGCACAGTTTCCATTATTAATACTTTCTTGCCTTACGCCTTAGTTTTTTGGCTTTAATTTCTGAAATGATCTCTTTACATTCTGAATTGCCACCAGCCCTTTCTGGATGTATTGCAATGGCTTTAATTAGAATCTGTGCTCATTTAAAATTAGAAGATGCCGTTTGCTTAATTCTGCTTTTGGCAAAGTTGGGAGTTTTACCATGGACCATGTGGGTAAAATTCTCAACAACTGCAAAAGGAGCTGATTCTGGAGGAGGGCAGAGTTCATCTGAAAATACCACTTGAGGTGGAATTTTGGTGCTCTTCAGCCAAGTGTCAGTTGGAGAAAAGATAATTGTATATTACAAAAATAAAGCAATCAGTGGGAATAAATAGAAACATTTAAAAATAGCATTTAAGTTACATGGACTGTTACCATTCCCTTTAAATGTAATGTAATGAAATAATGTTTTTCTTTTTTCTTTTTTCTTTTTTTTCTTTTTTCATTTGGCTGAATTCCGAGAAGGCAGTTTAGAGAAAGTAAATCATAGAGTACAGCAATACGAATAATGTTATCCAAACTGTCATAACAAAGGCTCAGGTCAGTGGCAAGGCAAGTGAGGTTTGACTGATACTATTTAATGACCTATATACGTGCTCCTTTATTCTTAGATAATAGTGTAGCTTGTGCGTTAGCTTGAGTATGTGCTCTTTCAGAAAGTACCCCTGTTTTCCCTCTAGTCAAACTGAGATGCAGTGAAACTATAGCAGATGGTTTCCTGAAACTTTCTGTATTATTTAAAAAAAAAAAAAAGTACACATCTGCACGTCAGTTGTTGACTACTAAGTAGCTCTTGCTGAATCAGAGGGAAGATTATTTTGGGCAGTTTACATAGCGTTATCCACAACACATTACTTCTGTACTAGTCCTCCCAGTAGTATTTTACACTTCATGTTCATCTTTAATGCCGGAAATCAGGGTTCCCTGGTGCTGCACATCTTGTGTCTGGTTTCTGCTTCAGAAGGGTAAAGTTTTGGTCAATACTACAGGAAGTGGGTATTTTTCTAGTAAAGTTGAAAGGAAACAAAACCAAAGACCCACAAGTCCAATCACAGTATTTATTTAATTTTAATTGTGTAGATATTTTAATCGGTGCCAGAAATACCATGACTTGCAACGCAGTTTACAGTGACCTTTAGTTCCAATGCTCTTGGTCAGTAGCATGTTATGCATGCACTTTTTCCCCATATGAATAGAAGAAGATCTGGTATGAAGTGCATAAAACCCCATTGATAATCTATGGTTAAGTGATTTTGCTGCTCATTTTACACCTTCTCTGCTTTAAAATCACACATAGTATTAAACGGCTAAGGGTGTAGTTTACTGCATGTAGATACACGTTTTGCCTTAACGGATGCAAAAGAGCGGTGATAATGCGGTGCACTGATTTTTTCCATAGGGGTTAAGCCCTGTAAAAACTACGCCAATGTATTTCCATTCCAACAGTTAAGGAAAAGAAACAGCCCTGCACTTTTTTTTAGATGCCTTGGTTTTCCGGAATGGAGCTTAGTGCTACTGTGTGTCTGGCTGCAGAGCCACCTCAGAAAGTCCCTCTCTTTTTTTTTTTTTTTTTTCTCTCCCCCCCCCCTTCTTTTTTTTATTTTCTTTTTCTAATTTATTTATAAATATGAATGTTTACATAAAGTGTAGGTCTTAATTTTGACCACTCCATTTAAATTATCGTCTAAAATATTTCACTGAAAATGCAGTTTCATGTTTAAATTATATTCTACAAAACTCATTCTTAGTATTTTCATATGTATTGCAGTGACACGCTTTTCATTCTGTTTACGTATGCCCAAGTTAATTACACTTTCTTCCTAGATCAATTTTGCAGCTGTAACATAAGGTTATTCAGTGAAATGTTCCAAATTGCCAAGTTTGTCATCATAAAACCTGTTAGGGTAGAATTCGGTGCCCTAGCGGAGGTTTTTTAACCAAAGGTCTTGGCCATTTTTTCTACATTTAATGAAAGTTCTCCCATAACTTCACCATTTGCTTCACCTGCATCGCTGTCTTTCTAGGGTAGCTTCCTAGGCTGTGCCCTTTGCAAAGGCGGGTGCGACAGGCTGTAAAATACATCTGTAACGAACAGGTGTCGTGTCGCGGAGCCTGCACCGTGTTAAAGGGTTGTCTTGTACATACGTTCTGTAAATCGTAAGAGAAATGGTTCATGATTTTTCAGTTCACGAATGTAGTCTGTTAGATGAGCACCACGACGCTTTTAGTTTTCTTTTTGCTTTATATGATTAGTAATGTTTTAATTACTCATCTAGGTCAAATTCATTATCAAGTACAGTACAAACGTGTGAAATATGTTTATACCAACAGTAATTTATTTTACGGCAAATTTTAAGACTAGAGGCGCACAGCTTTGAGTCAGCATAAAAGTAGTGCTATAAAGCAAGCAAATTGCTTAGTAATTTTAAGTCGATTTTATTTTGTAACGTTTTTAGTGAAAACTTACAGGACTTCTTAGTTGGCATTGAAGTTAATCTAAAGACACTTTCATATTGAATTTAGTATCTGTGGACATTTATTTGGAATAACGAATGAGTTTGAAAATCAATACTTTTCTAAATGATTTTATTGACAAGACACATCATTTGTAGTATTTTTCTTTCTACTGTTGCTGATACTCCTGTGCAAAGGCGTCTTCCGGGGTTCAGCACCTGTAGCTGAACTACAGTTTTGATTCTAATACTGATTATTTGAAATGTGATTACATACTGTACGGTTCGAATTTTTTATGACTGCTTTTCTAATTACAATGATGTTTTCTTACTTTATAACAAAACCCAAAGCAAATGAAAACATTATTCCAAACGTAGAATCAATATTCAGTTTATACAGAAAACACAACTCTCAGACTTGTCTGTAATGTGAAAGATCCAGCCTTCGTTGTTTTAAGTACTGCTAGAATAAAACTATCTTTTGTAATGTTTCAGAAAGTTGGTAAAAGCAATAAAAATCTACTGAACTATCGGTGGTAGGGCCTTCTCTCTTCCTTACGTGCAGACGGGGGGGGGGGCGGTG